ATGATAAACCAATTCTACCATCAACTGCTGTGACGATTGGTTTATCAACTGCATTAATTGGTTTATTTTATGGTGCTTCACAACCATTAGTATATGAAGCTATTGCTGAAATTATGTTTCCTTTACCAGAATCTTTATCAGCCTCAATTCTTGTTCAATTTAATAATATCGTTGCGCTTATTCTTCTATTTATTGCGCCTGGTCGAGATAACTTAATGAATTTACTCGTACTAATTATTATATTTGCCTGCATTATAATGGTAGTATTGGCACGATTCTCTTATAGAAGACGAGATGAAGATGAACGAAAACGACTCGAAAAAGAACAAGATCAAATCTTGATTCAAAATAATTTAAATGCATCGAGAAATGGTATTCTTAGTGAACCAGCATATGGAACATTTTCTTAAATATATACATATATATGTAATCTGTTTTGATATTACTAAACAAAAATGATTAGCTCTCTTCAAATATATTTTTATAAAATAATAAATAATAGATTCATGAATGCTAGTATATATAACTTGCAATTAATCTGTTTATGTGAATTTGATGAAATACCATCATCTACAAAAAGCATTACTTTTTTTTCCATTACAATTATTAATAAACGTAAATGTGCGTTTGTACTTTGTTTTTAAGTGCAATTATATTCTGGTAATCGTTTTTCAATGACTTTTCTCTGATGATTATTAAAGTTAAAAATGTGATTGAAACAAATTCTTAGGAAAAGGACGAAAAGTATTCGGATGTTATTTTAAGTACCATATGAATATGATAAATGATAAATTATTGAGTATGACAAATGGTAGATGAGTCAAGGGGTATGGAATAATGGATATATACAGGTGATGAATAGCAGTTCTTTGTATTTTAACTGGTAAAAAGTTAGTATATATATTTAGTAGAGAAAATAGTACATTTTTTCTTATTAAAAACAAAACGACATTCTAATGGCGTATATATATTAAAATAGTGTTTAACATTTTTAGTTTCTTTATTTCTAAGTATACTTAAGGAAAACGAACGTTTCACTTACAGTTTTTACTAAATAGTATCAAGTCTATTTTTATATAACTAATGAGCTTTACCTTCTTGACTAAATAGTTTTTTTTTCTACATAAATGTGACTATTATAGAAAACATCAGTCACAAACCAAATCATAATGTATTAAGTATAAGAAAGATAATAACTTTTCTTTTATCATTATTATTTTACCTAGATCTCCACTAATTAAAAATAATTCTTTTCTCTATAAAATATGATAAATGAGTGAAAATTGCTGTCAGACGACGACGTCTTCACAACATAATAATAACTTCATCCAATCATTCTTATTTTCTCCAATGGAGAATATTACTGATTTAACCGTAAACGATGTTAATAATAATGTTACCGATATTATTCAAATTTTTCTTTTTACATTTATTATTATCGTGTCCAATATCTATATAATACTCGTTTTGATTAAAAAAACTCTTCGATCCGCTAAATTTACTTGGCTTACTGTAAATGTTTGTTTTGCAAGTGTAATCTTTGCTATTATGCAATTATTATCAATAGGTATTCGCTTAAATAATATTCCAGAAACATCAGTATCATGTCACTCAAAAGGATTTATCGTTGATATGTCTACTTGTCATATTATGTATTCACATTGTATTTGTTCGCTATGTCGTTTATTTTCAATAAAATATCCACATAAACCATTCTTTAAATCTAGTCGATGGTTATTAATTAATATTGGTATGAGTTGGTTTATTGGAATATTTATGGCATTACCTCTTCTATTCTTTGATAATTTTACATGTTCAGGTAATTATGGCAAAAGATTTCTTCAAATATATACATCATTTTCAACTATTCTTATACCTGTTATTATTGTTGCTATATGTAATATTGCAATTTTTCGTTATGTACGACAATCAACTAAACGTATTCGTAGTATCAGTGAAAATCAAACTAACACAAATCAACTCAGTCAACGAGATAGAAGGTTATGTAACATAATGTTATTGACATTTTGTGTATTTGTTATAGGTTGGATACCACTCTTTATTGAACAAGTATTTTTTACTGGTGGAAATCGTTTAAATTCAGGTTTAATAATAACTTTTCAAATTCTACCACCAATCTGTCTATTAGCAGATGTTATTGTTATTGTTTACTCAGATCAGCCAGTTCGTAATGTATTTTTAAATGTATTTAAACGTCATTGAAGCAACTATGAATACAATTATTTATTTATTTTTGCGCACACATCTTGTATATCCATTGAAAAATAAATAAATTTACTTAATTTTTCAACTGACATGTGTGTATCGTGACTTTTTATTTATATCAATATGATATATTAAAGAAAATCTAGATCTTTCAGATTGTAAATATTTTGTGCATATAATAAACTTCATAAAGAATAGCAATATTGGACAGTTCGCTTATATTTATTTATTTTATTAAATTAAAATTCACCTTTTCTTTTTGTTACAATGATATTAAGAAACAATTGATAAAATAATATTATTTATGATTTATCCAAAAAGCGGTCCTCTTTTTCTTGAATTCACCCATCTTCGTCCACCTAATACTGCATAACTACGTCGTTTATCAAGTGTAATAAGTTCATTTTCATTACTATTACTACTACCATTTGAATCACTTTTAGACAAATCACTATCATCATCATCATCAGTATGTAATGCTGTTGTTGTTATTGAACGACCCATAAGTGGAGCTCGTAAACGTCGTGCACTGTATAATCGGCGTGCTTCATTATCAGGAGTACGCATCATCGCAGTAAATGATGTTACTGTTATTGTTTGCTAAGAATAAAAAGAAAAATATTATTATTATTAACTTCACCATCATCTTGTATTTACCTGTAAAATCAAAAGACACAAGAAACAGAATGGTACAATAAGCTGCATGATGGTGATAGTGATGGTAATATTTTCGATCTACAGAAAGAAAATGAGAAACGTTTATTAAGAAAAATTATTTTCTAACATAAATAATATTTTCTATCAAATAAAACTGTTGCTTTTATAAGAGTAATTTATAGCATTTGACATTTAATCGAAAAAGAAATTAAACAATAAGCAGACTTTTCAATTCGATCATATACGTTTGAATAATTTACAGTTGAATCAACTGTTTCTACATAATAAAATATAAGCTTACTAACATTGTCAAGGAATATGACAGTACCTCGTCTTTAATAAATATATCGATGTTTCGAGAACAATTAATAATCTAAAAAGTGATTAACCTCTCTTCTTATAATCTTCTTTTACAGTAGCACTTCCTACGTCAAAATCACTCTCACAACATAAATCTTATTATGTCAACTTATAAACTCTTCATATATTCCTGGGAAAAATGTATATCATTCTATGCACTTGAATAATGAAATTTTTTTCTCTATATGAAACAAATAAATTATCGAAGAATTTTAGTTTTGGAATAGTCATAAAATGAATTAATTGATCAAATTAAACAAATACTGTTAGATATGTTATATATATAGACGTCATTCATTAATTATTAAAAGAAATATTAATACATAAAAACTGTTATTTTACGCTTCTGCTGTACATCTAACTATTTCTAAGGGAAATATTCATCATCTTCTAATTATTATTAATGATCACTGTTTAAACAGAACATTAATACTATAACTGTAACCATTTTTACAGAAAGGTAAAAATTAACTACATATCATAAACATTTGTACGTTTATTGTCTAGATGATATTCAGTTATTAGATGAAAACTTCTTTAATACATATTTTTACATGATTAAATATTTAGTTATACATAATAGCTATTAATTATCTGTTTCAGTGCTCTATTATAATCAAAATAGGCATCAAGAATGTCATAAAATTTATGAATTCAAAAAAATATGTGATCCTTTTTTCGATCTAAATTGGACGCCAAAACACTAATTTATTATTCATTCCTATATAGTCTACGAAATTATGCTTTTCTCCAATTGGGTACATTTATATGTAAGTACTTTTCTCATGAAAACTTAGTACAAAAGAACATTGATCTTATTTAAATTTATATATATATAGGCCTTAGGTACACAAAAAAACACTGATCTGGATTATATCAGTTAGTTATGCACTGTAAACTATTATAGATCATTAAATATGTATGATATTTTTTTCAGATTAAATACTATTATTTTATTTATATAAAACAAAATGCATCAAAATTTTTGTTATATTTTTTGGAAATATTTTTAAAAGAAAAGATTAAACTTTGTAGTATTTTTGATAATTAAAAAACATAATTTTCATCGTTACATATAAAAAAATCAAAATAACCGTATTTATCTAGCAAAATACATTTGAATCACAACTAATTAAAATTAAAGAAAAATTTTCAAGTATTTGTGAGAATGTTGGTTGCAACGATCATTGTTTTGGGTTGATTTTATACTTGCGAATGTACAAATGCTACAGTTTGAATGGTATTGAAAATAGAAAATTCAACAGATTATTTTTTTTAATAATATCTCTTTATTTATGATTAGAATAATTTAAATGTTCACATTCGAGTTTTTTTCTCGATCCAAGTTGTTTGAAATAATAGTATCGCATAGATTCAAAAACTAAGATTAACAATTGTTGATGATAAATGTAATGAAATTTGTAAAGAGATGGACCTAATTTATCTTTTAGATTGAATTTTACTAGTAAAGAAAGAAATTGATTTTTTACGACAGTTAATATAATGATATGATACTTTGGCTATTTTTAGTCTTATTTGAAAATTCAGCAAGATTATAGATTATCTATTTATGTGCAAAAATCAATCTTCAAATTTGCTATAAATAACTTTTTAATTACTGCTACTGATTTTGTAAGATATTGATTGTATATTATTCTTGCCGTTCATAGTTAACTTCAAACGATATCATTTTTGATTTCAAAATGAGTTAACAAAAATCAGTATGGATATTATAATGTTTACAATAAAACTCATATATTATCGATTCTTACTTTCACACATACCGCTAAAGGATAATATAAGTATTTAATGATGCGTACCATCATAATTGAATTAATGAATAAGAACCATCGTGTATCTTTTTCTTTTAAAGACACATTCGTCTTGGACAATCAAACAAATATAGTAGAAAGCAATTAAGCATATCTATCATTAACTTTAGCAAATCGATACGCGTTCTTTTTTTTTGTCAGTCTTTAGTGTAGATTGACTTATAAAAGCAGACAGTTCTAATCATATATAATATCGATATTGACGATAATAATTGTGAACAATTAGAATGGCGGTACTTGTTCGTTTTATGCCATCGCTATCAATGACAAATCATTATCGGTAGAAGAAAAGAACGAAACAACAATAATGATCATCGATGTGAGACGACATATAAGCAGCGGTGACTGTCAAATCAGTAGAGCGATACAAGAAAAAAAATCTATTAAAGTAAAAGAAGTACAATCTTAACCGATCGAACATCTGTTACCATGTGATACAATGTCAACGTTTAGCAGATCCGAACAAGTTATAATATTCAACTAAATATATCGAAAAAAAATGTTTTTAAATGTAATAATTATCATATAGCACTATTTTATTATAAAAATTAATTTATTAGATAATCTCTTATAGTTAAAGTTTATGTATCCTCTCCTGTTAGTCTATTGATATTCAAAATTTATGAGACAAGTATTCAAGCAAAGCAGATGATATCGAAATGTAACACTTTTATCGAATTCTGTAAATATTCCGATTAAATAAAAATTTATCTGAGAATTACGCTATGCTTTAACACTTAAATTTCATATTCTATTACTCTGATTTATTAGAATAATATTACACTTTACAATATATGTGTGAGAAGTTCGTGTTAACTATATATTTTTTTTTGTTTCTCTCTCTCTCTTACTTTTTTTAAATGTCCAATAGAAACGAAATGTGATAAACCAATGAAAATAATTTCTTCACTCAAATAAAATCACATACTGATCAATGACATCATTCAAAGAGATGAAAAGCAAATTGTATGTACCTGGTATAGGTAAGTACATATCTTATGATATTATTCTTAATTAACTAATGATAATTATATAGGACAAGCAGGAGTTAATCAACTTGGTGGTGTATTTGTTAATGGTCGTCCATTACCGGATCATGTACGTCGACAAATTGTTGAATTAGCATTAAGTGGTATTCGTCCATGTGATATATCACGTAAATTACTTGTTTCACATGGTTGTGTTTCGAAAATATTAACAAGATTTTATGAAACGGGTTCTATTCGACCAGGATCAATTCATCGAGGAAATAGACAACAATCCAAAGTAAAAATTAATATAAAAAGTACTCTTAAACATACATAATTTTTTTTATTCAGCAAATATCTAATAATCAGTTGGTTGATACAGAAGAATCATCAATAGTTTTGTAGGTTATCTTATATTTTTAAACATACTATTATAATATTTTTGTGTTAAGAAATCAACAACAATCAGATCTATTTTCTGTATTACATCATTATAATCAATTTTTGCTTCAACAAACAATAAATTCACCATCGGATGATGAAATTTCAATTGAAACAACTTCATCATCATCATCATTAATTAAACATTCAATTGAAAGTATTCTATCAAACCAAACGAAAAGAAAAAATAAAAATTGTATGTAATTTTTTAATAATTAAATAAATATATTTTCTCCTTTTTTTTTTGATTTTCTTAGCATCGATCGATGAACAAACAAATAATAAACGACAAAAACTTTTTGTTTGTTAATTTGAACATATTCATTTTCTTTGTATTTTAAAAAAAAACAGTATATATACAATAAATAGAAAAAAAAACTGTTGATCAGAATTGATTCCATAGTATATAGTTTTTGCCAAAAAGACTAAAAAAAAAATAAGTGCATATAATATATATCACAAAGATCAATAACGAACGAATTGAATTAACGAAATTGAGAGAAATATCTTAAGATTCTCTGATCATTGCATATAATTGATCAATTAAAGAGATATTAAATCTTGTTCATCTTTCATTATATAATTGTATATGTAGTTTTTCAAAAAGTTTAGCAATATCTAATCCTTTAGAGATTCTTGTAGACATGGATTAAACACTTTCATAACTCTTTTCTTGTTTTTTATTAAAAAAAGTTGGGCACATCAAGATCCGTACGAGATTTGCTATTATTCATCTCAAATATATTTTTGGTCATTTTTTTAGATTTTTTTCTACTTTTTTTTTGAACGTGTAAAGCAATGTTTGCTCTACAAACTCATCTGAAAATTATCAAAAAATAATCGGCCAAAGTTGTTCAATCACAGGTTTTCTAGAGACACCTACAACTTTTCTGCAATTATCTCACATGGGGTAATTGCAAATTCCTAGCAGTTTTACATCGAACTATTAGAAATCGGTTTTATCATCAATCCTATATGATAAGTTCCTATTTTTTTCACAGCTAGATAGTTCATAAAATTCTCTACAATCTGTAAGAATCTTATGGCAAAACTCATTAAGTACTCGAAATAGTAATTTAAATCATAAACTGAAAAAATCGTAAAAATATCTGCAATTACCCCATGTGGGATAAATGCAAACATATACAGAAAGAATAGGGTAATTGCAGACAACAATCTAAAAGCTTATTTTTTCTTTCAATTATTAGTATTTTTTAAGTACATACCTATAAATTTTTAGGGTGCATAGAGGAACTGGAAAGTCGCACACAACTGTTTTATTAACAATTAGTGCCGATGGTAATTGTCTTCCGCCATATATTATATACAAAGCTTTACACCTTTATGATCAATGGTGTCCAAAAAACATTATATGTGGTGCTGTATTCAATGGAACTGATTCAGGATGGATTGACGAAAACTGTTTCCATGATTACCTTTTGAAAGTTTACCTATAAACAACATCAAATATTTAAACTTTTGTTATTTTTACTTTCTAGAACGCAACTATTGAAACAAACGATGAAAAAATAGCAAGATTAAAAAGTCAAATTTCAAGCTTAACTGTACAGAATGAAAATCTTCAAGAGTTAAACAAATTATATCTTGACTCATAGAATTCGTTACTGTGCCAACAGAAGTGATGAACGTCCTTTTGAATGATACCCCTTATATTATTTTCATCTCTCTCCTTCTCTTTCCTTTTTTTTAGCTAGTTCTATCTTTTCATGTTCTCCCTTTCTCTCTCTAGTATATAACCCGTGTTGTATGTTAAATAGTTACATTTGGATGTAGTACTTAGTCGAATAAACATCGTGCTTTAAGGCACTATAACTATGTCTCTCCATTTGCCATAATGATGGGTATGCACCTGTAGCTCATTTATATCGATGCCCAACCAGTGGTAGAGCTGCATACCTTCATTTTCCGTTACATGTGTGTATTTGAGATTTCGGTGTTATTATTTTTTTGTGCTCAGCTATATACATACGTAGATTCATGTTTATTTTTTTGTAAAAGCAAATGAATTAAAATTATTATTTTGTTGACATAAACAAATAATATTATATAGCTTTATTATTTAACGCATAAAAGGGTATGTGTTCAGTTCATCATAACTCATATCCACATCCATACCTCCAAGAGATGCATTAGTTTTAGAAAAAAAGTTCTTAAATTTATTCCTCCCGGGTTTTTAAAATAGGGAAATTTTTTTCACGTTTGCTGAATTAGCTGAGGCAATGCAGCTCCTCGATGATTGTTTTTCTCGTTTGGTTCACACATTTTTTACAACCAATTACAGACACTAATAAATAGTATTAACTTTACACAGGTGACGTCATCTAAAACCCATTTATAACAGGATGCGAACAGTAGAAAATTTTTATGATCTCGTAGGCTGCAAGGAAACTTGTAACGGTTGTGCGTCTGAGTATGAGTATAATCAGTATGCACCATCGATTTTTGATATCGACTATAAAAGCATTTCTCAGTGAAACAGAAAAAAAATATAATTGTCGACCATCAAACGGAAAAAACGTGTTTTTGAATCAAGATGAAACTTTGATCCTCTACGCTGCAGAACACCTGAAGCGTGTTTCATCTGTTCGAGAAAGAAATACAAGACCAATATGGAATGCTATGATTTTGCTCATCGGGATATTATTAACTATGCTTTATATTTTAATGATGTAGTAGTATGAGGAATATACCAACAGAACGCATGTGCATTATTTACGATATTCTACAATTAGAATGAAGAAACCATAACTTTCAGAAGGAAACCTTGTATCGATCGTTCATACACAAACTTCTTTGGACTTGTGGCATCTGTATAAATAGAATGATTGAATCTTGAGGGTGGGAGTGGGCGTGGATGTGAGTAAAGAAGAAAGCAACACTTACACCCTGGACGTTACTTCATTAATTCAGGACAAAATTCAATTTCTTTATTCATTGATGGTATTAACTAAATTTTCGGTAAACTATTAATTTTTATCGGGATAGAAAAATAACTTTAGTGCTGTGATGTTTTTCTACATCATCAAAGTATGTCCATTAGTTTAAAAATCTTCTCTGCGTTATTATTTTCAACTAACACCATCATTTAGATTTATTATAATTACAATTAGTTAACTAATAGTTTTCAATTTATTTTCAAATTTATTTATTAGAAAAATTTCGATATTCTTTAAATTGTATTTTTAATGTATAAAAGATGATCAAAGTATGTAAAGAAAAATGTGTCGTTACATTTGTTTATTTACTTTATTAAGGACGTTATCTACCTGTATGTTATTTCATGTGCCATTAATATAAATATATAAAGAGATAGAAAAAACTAATCCTTCATATAACTACTTGTTTTTACTTTAACGACAAAAAAATATATGTAAACATGTGCATATTATACTCATTAGTTATTATACTATTCGAATAAAAACATTTTAATCTATACATGAAATAAATATCGATATTTATTCTTTTGTGAATACAAATTAAAGCAGAAAAGAATTTATTTGAGAATATTTAATTATTTTTTATCTTTTTATACGCATTTTTTTGGTCATAAAAGTTTTAAGAATTGAATTAATAGAAATATTCAAAAATGCATTTTATTTGAGAAAAAAAATAGTAAAGCTGAACAATTTTATTCTATCTAACAAAGTAATGATATGAGAAAAAAGTAAAATATAGTTCAAAAGTAGTGAGGAATACACTCAAACGCTGTAAAATAAATACAGTATCGAGGTGGATACCATTAAGATCGATGAAACTCTACTGACAGGTGATCCCCAGCTGCTCGAAAATGATTTTGTCCAGGACGATAATGTATAAAATAGATTTCCCAAAAGAAACATTGCAGCAACGGTTGGTGTCGAAGGCATGCTAGATGTAAAATATGCTTCAAAAGGATGAAGAGTCATTACAATAAAACCAGAGATAAACTTCATTTCATTGAAGAAATTATGACGTGTATAATGAAAAAAACCGATCGAAAACATAAATATGAGGATACTTAAGGCTAATCACATAAATAAATGATCGATTGATAGACCGTTACCAAAATATGCCAGGCAAAATATGAGAGAAGTATCACAGATGAAACAAACAATATTGAAAAGACGTGCCACAGGTCCGTTATAACTTTTCGAACATAAACCAGAATAAAATTCCCAGGCATAGTAAAAAATTGCAGCAAATAAGGGCCATCGACATATTTCTTCTTGTAAACAATGTTTTACTGTTACCAGATAACATTTTTTTGGTTTATGCGTTTATTAAAATGTTACACTCTTGAGTACTTACATACTAAGAAAAAAGAATAGCAGAAAGGGTGGGATAAGGGGTAACATTCTATCGGTTGAATAAAGTAAGGTGCAATTGATTCATTGAGTCCTAGCTGAGTTTTCCTTCATAATATATTATCGATAGGGGCTCATGTTGATTAGGCAGGGTATTTAGTTCTTGTTTGCTGCTGATTCCACGAAATTAATCCAATTGATCAGCAGCGACTCGTGTCTTGTCAATAGCTTCTTCACTCTCCTCAGTCTAAAGTAATGTCCTACTGAGTCATTTTTTTCTTTTTGAAATCTATCCCAATAAAAAAAATCATGAAGAAAGTAAGAGGATCTCAGGTCAGTCTTATATATTTTTTCTATTCGCTTTTTAATGTATCTTTGTACATAGAACTCTAGGGGTTTTTGTTTAGTGAGTTTAAAAAGGTCGGTTGCGGATACATATGGGCATCTATGGACAAGCCGAATCGCCACTCGGAATTTCCTGTCCAGAGCCTCGCGTTGAGTTTTAGGTAGGAAGGGGTAGAAGGGGAAGATCCAGGCCAAGTGAGGGAAGACATAAGCAAAAAAACACTGCCTTATCACTTTAGTTGAGATATGTCTGCCTGTTCTCAACCATTTTAGTTTTCCAAGTGCTTTATCAACTTTCAAAAGGGCTTGATCGACCGTTGGTTTTAAGGACATTTTGCTGGTCCAAGTAAATCCTAGGTACTTAAATTTGTCCACGATCTCTAGCTCATGTCCTTCCACCAGATAACATACATTGTAACTAGTGACTGCGATGAATTTCATAAGCAGAACACTATTTGTTCGTTGATTAAACAGTTTCATTGCTGTCATTTTTGGATTTATATGATGTACAGTATATGATCAAGTTCGATAATATCGCGATTAATCTGAAAATAAGAATTTTAAAAGAAGTGTAATACAGAATAAAAACGAGATATCTATAGAAATCAAAATTCAAAAGATGTAATAATTTCACAATCCAAGTGGTGGGTGTGGATGTGGATAATAGGAGAGAAGACACCTTTACCCTCAAGATGCACAAAACAAAAGATATCAAATGAGAATGAGTTTTAGCTGTGATACAATAGTCTAAATTAAAATTCACAATATTTACTAAGTTCTATATTAGTACATGGATGTATAGAATATCTTACTTCTATTACTTTACTTCTTTAGTATATAAAATCTATTGATACTAAAATATACTGCTGGTCCCTAGGAAACAAGATCTACGTACGTATCAATTGCATGATATAATATTCAGGAGTAAAAAATTTGAATCAATTTATGAAGCATCACAGATTAAGGTATAAAGTAGTAATAAGAAATATTATCTACAGTTTTTCATCGTACTTACTTGTTGATATTCGTTTCATAGACTGATTATGTAGCAATATTTTTCGTGTATTTATATGCACAATTATCGATTATAGAAGAAAAACAAAAATAATGATAAAATAAAAATGATATTGAGTACATTCTAGTCTGATGTCTTTTTCTTTCTAGACATATATTATTCGAATATCCTTTTCGTTTGTTTTGATAGGATGTACCCGTGTCTGAGGTCACATATTCGTTATTAGAAGGAAAGGTATTTTCAAGTCTATTCTCTTTCTAAATAAGCAAAAAAAAATAATACGATTTGCAATCATACTTTATATGTTAGTATTTTTCGTATGCGGACTCATTATCCTCGTGAGTACCTATTTACTCTTTGCATTAATGCATTTATATAACTTTTTCTATTATTAAGGCGGCTGACTGCACGTAGTGCAGCAGTCGACTTATTGCTTTTGATATTCTTCTTCTTCTTCTTCTCGACAGATGAGTCACGATTCAATTCTGCCACTCGTTCTTAGCACCTAAGCAACATTTTCAATCGGAAAAAAGACGGCCATATTCGTGAGAACGTGCTGAGTGCACATCTGAAAACCGTTTTTTGAAATTCGGCTCCGTGTGGGAGATACATAATTTAAAAAAACTATTAATAAACACGTGATGATTTCCTTATATGGTTATGTATGACTCAGTATTATGCGATCATTGATATATGAGATATTATATGCATATACATTTTAATTATCGTTTTTTGTGACTAAAGTCTATCATGATAGAGTCTAATCTATGAAAAGTAATTATTCGATGGCCTGCTTATCTGAGTTTAGTTAATCAATTTTGTGAATAAAATAAAACAAAATTTTAAATGGTTCAGATATCTGTGTTTATCAGGGTTGTTACACTTCTGCAGTCAGCCGCCTTTCTTCTGCTTGAACTTGCTTCAAGTGGAGGTCTAGTTCATCTTAGTTTTACTCTATGGTTGCTAACGAATAGCAAGTTGACATTTAGCAAATTTTCTTTTTAATGAACTTTCAGAACTTATTGAATAGTTAATTGAAGACTTTAATATCCCTTTTCATTAGATAAATATAATAATATTATTCTTTATGTTAGACATTTTTTAACAAGATACATATTAAAGAGTATGTATAGAAAGAATAGGAATGGATCAAAAATGCTTTGTTATTAAAAGAGATAATGAAAAAATGAATATTTGAGCACAAAATTTTTTAATATAGAAAATAATTAGCATGTATTTTACTTGAGATGTATTAGATCTATCATTAATATAAACAACTCAAGATGTGGATGAATGAATAGTAGAAATTATATCCACATCCTTCTCAAATAAGAGTGTGAGTGTATTTTTTTTTGATTGGCAAAACAATTCATTTCACTCTTGAATATTATATAAATCTCGTTTCTTCAAAGCCAAACAATCAAATATCATGTTCAAATCTACAGATATAGATTTTGAAAGTATTTTATTTTATCGTTTAATGTAATTTAACAAAACGTATATTTATTTTACTTGATATATCATACGATAAGAAGAAGTACGAACGAACGAATACGCATTGATGTATTCTATGATAGCGACAATTGCAAGGAGAAATGATTATTTAAATGAGTCACATTTGTATGTTACAATTATTTAATGATGATTATTTTAATTGATTTATTTATTTAAAATATTAAAACTAGATAGTATCTATTTTAAATGAATAATTGTCTTTGTCTTGTTTTTATTGTGTTGATAAGTTAAATAATGATAGGGAATAAAATGAACTATAAATTTAATGTAATTAATTATATTATAATAAAACCTATTGTCAGCAGTATAATAATTATATAAATTCTTTTTGATTCTCTATTGTTTAAAAACTGCTCGTGATACAGACTGGTTTTAAAATATTTTCTAGTAACTATTTGAAATTTAACTACGAGTTATAAATAAAAAAAAAGTTATGGTTCTCTTTTGAGTAATTTGATCCAGATTGCTTCTGGTACCATTAGTAATTCTTCATGGATGTTGAAATTATTTTCAAGATGTTCACCTGGAAGAATCGTATATTCTCGAAGAAGTCTTGTCAATAACATTTTCATTTCGATCAATGCAAAACGCATACCGATACAATTTCGTGGACCTGCTCCAAATGCCATAAACGCCATTGGATGACGTTTTATTTTGTGACGTTCTGGCAGAAAAATATATGGATCATCAGGACCCCACAATTCACGATCATAATGAATCGAATAAATATCAGGATACACAGAAGTACCTATAGAAAATTATATATTAGATACTAAGCATATCAATTTGCGAAACACTAAAAAAAACTTACCTTTTTCAATGTCAATTCCTTGGACAACTGTATTTCCCATAGCACATCGTTGAATAGCTATATTAGTAATTGGATACATTCTCAATACTTCTGAAATAAACATATCCATATACGATAAATGTGTAACAGTATCATAATCAGGATATTCTTTTATTTTTTCGTCATTGGTAGTATCATCGTTGTCTATTGGAAGTTGATCAATTTCATCTTGAAGTTTTTTAAGAACATCTGGATATTTGGCTAGTACATATGTAGCATAAGCCAAAGCAGTTGATGTTGTTTCATATCCTGCTGCCATGAAAATTAGAGTATTACCTACCACTTCATCTTTTGATAGCCGATAGTTTGTTTTAGAATCATCTTCCGTCGTATCCTATAGCAAAAGTCTTGATTTTAAGTCAAATATAAAAATAAAAAACTTTTCAACAGGCAATCATACAAGATTATGATGAAATCTCTTTTCATTTATTATTTTCAGCTATTTACTCTTGACTAAAAATGTTAAGGACTAAATATTTTGCTTACCTGAATTGGTTCTTTGGTCATTACTTGTAACATAAGTTGAAGAAGATCCTTTCTTGATATAGGTGTTTCTTGGCGTTGCTCGACAATTGTATGTAGCCGATTCTGCAGCCACATATATGCTGATTCATCTAACTGTTTTGTTGATGATATTAATGGTAAAACTTTTGTATTAATATACTTTCGTACAGTATTATGAACAACGTATAATCGACCGAGGATATTTCTAATTTCAGGTATTAGTTGAGTCACTTTGAATATAGGACTTTTCAGAACACAATGGTTATCAAATAATCCTTCTAATTTATTAAGATAAATATGGTTTGGATTATGTTGTAAATCAATATCGATTCCAAATGCACATCGACCTGAATATATAAAAATGAATAGATATAATACTATTTTATTTACTAATTCGCCTTTCGATATTTATCTGGTGAAAATTTAAACTTTCTAGATACTTAATTTAGAAAATCTCCTTAAAGTCCGTTTTTCAATTTACTTTGCAGATTCAAGCATTATGGACGGTTTTCAATTTTCTTTCTACAACTCCTCTATCTAGAGCCCTGGTGAGAGAATATAATCTGAACTTAGCGTTAAATAAAAGAAGGAAAATCCCAACATTTTATTACATATAATATCCATAGTTAATCGTTTGTAATACAGGTAAATATTGAATTCATCACCACTGTTTGAATGCTCTAGTAGTTTATCCATTACATCGCTAATAGCTCCATTGATCAGAGGACTCATTGTCTTGAGTTTTATTGCAGTGAATGATGGATTGATTACATGACGTTGACGACGCCAGGATGAACCATTTGAAAAAGCGAGATTGTGGCCTATATCTTCTAGCATAGTAATCATTCGAACATGAAAAACAGAAAATTGTTTAATAAAGACTTCTTGAAGAAAATCAGGATCACTAACAACTAAAACAGGATGAGTTCCTTCATAGATTCCATAGATCTTGCCATATTGTTTTGTCCAATTTTCAAGTTGGCGATAAGACGATGGAACATTCCATAATGTTTTGAAATGACCAAAGAAGAAACTGAAGGGCGGAGTAGAAATACTTCGCTGCTTAAAATATTGATAACGTTGTCGAATGAGAAAATAATAGTAGACCAACAAAGTAATAAATCCGAGTAGTAGAAGTAGAAATACAAAAAACATACTTTATGCTTCGTATTTCACTATTAATGATGCACGAAAATAATAATTCAATAAAATATGATGTGCATTTATATAGATATTTGCGATAAGCACACGATTTTTTTTAATAGTAGGAGTAATGTTATGTATATATTAGAATGAAAAATTGCACAGTCGTTGCAAAGTGTATTTGCTTTTCTTACACTCAATAATATGGCAAGTTTTGTACTTTGCTTTCTTCATAAGTTATTATCGTTAGGTGAAAAGGAAGAATATACATTTTTTAAAGGGAAAAAAGAGCCTATTCTGTCAGACAAGCAAGAACAAGAATTATAAACACGTGTAACAAATTTCTAATAAATGTAAAAAACACTATGAAAATGTATTGTTTTTGTTTATTATCAAAGTTTATGCTGATGTTGAAATAATTTTTCGTTAGGTTCGCTTCAATTCTTCTACTTTATTAACGAATATGTATTTTCTTATATAATTTTCATGCATTTTTTTCAGAGTTAAATATGATTATTTGTTTAAACACTTGTTCAATTTAAGAAGTAGTCGTACAAAATAAAATGAGTTTGTGCATATATTTGTATGTGTAATTAGATCTGAACATGGAAATGTGTTTTCAAGCATTAATAGTGATCATCGAGGTATACACCAAGGTTGCCATCTACACCTAATATTCATTTCATAGACATTTACCTTCTGCCGATTATTTATCGTTCTCTCTTTGTATCATCACATAATGATTCATTTTTTGCAACTAAACGAAAATTACTCATGTTACTTTTTGGCTCTTTTTCGTGTGATATGTAGCACGTGCGAGACAAAACAAAAATACTTCTAGATTTTTCTCCTTTATTGTTATCTCTTTGTCCTTTTGAGTACAAAGATCTTGAGGGTGTAGTTGTGAATGAAATAGAATACCACACCCACACCCTCAAACTTTATAGATCGTTAAAAGAAATAATGAAATTATTCTGATATCGTGTACATATAATGATGGTTAGATTAGATATCTTTCTAAGTCAGTAAAATTCTTCATTTTAGTATAATTTATATACTTTTGAAAATTTTTAAAAATCGTTTATTATTTTCTTCGATTAAAATTTAAGTTAATTTTTCGTACAAGAACTTTTATCAATCAGAAACTTTTGTACGCGATTATTTATCATATCAGTAACATATAAATTTCCTTCTCGATCAAGAGATACATCCGAAGGAAGATCGAATTGATCGGATGAAGAACCTTGACCATTTCCACCAGCAATTAATGTTCCATTTGTAGCATCTTTCAACCAACGCATAATTCGATGATTTCGTGAGTCTGCAACATAAATTGTTTCTTGTTCATCAACATAAACACCGGATGGTTCGTCAAATTTATCGAAATCATCACCTGATTTATCTGATTGTCCAGCAACAAGAATGGGTTCATCATTTCCTTCAATTATTTTAACAATTCTATGAGTTAAGTATCCTGTTGAATAAATTGTTCGTTTCTGGTCAACAAATATAAGACATGATTGACGCAACAATTTCTCCACCGAATTCATTATCATTAAAATTCCATTTTGTTGTTTTTCCATCAGCATATTCTGATACATAAATAAATCCTTGATTATCTTGTCCGATTCCATAAGATTGAATATTATCAATAAGAACTTCACCATCATCTTCACCTCGATACCAACGAACAACACGATGATTTCCACTATCAGTGATATAAATTGTGCCATTTTTATCTACCACCATATCTTCTGGCATAAATAATGAAAATTTTTCAGTAGTATCTTTATCTTTTACACCCGCAACCCATTGACCAATTGTTGCATTTTGTTTCCACATAACAATTCGATCATTATCATGATCTGCAATATAAATCGTATCATCATCATTATCATCAAGAAATATTCCATAAGGATGAGCTAATTGGTCAAGTTTATCTCCATAATCTTTTCCGCCTGCAACTGTTATTCCGTCTTTTGACCAAGTCGCTGTTGAACATATTTCACCCTCTATTTAAATAAATAAATAAATAGAAAAGAAAGTTTTTTTTTGAAAGCTAAATTTACTTGATAAACTAAAATAAAAAGCAATATTTAATAAATTAAAAAGAAAAGAAAAAAATGTAATTTTGTCGAACATTTTTATGATAAAATGAAATATTCTATCTTTAAAAATATGGTTTAAATATTATTTTTTTCTCACAGTGTCATCATATACAGCAGCATTATTATTCTTATCATTTCATGAGGATGAAGGTGTGATGCTGAGAATAAATCACTGTGTGGTAGAACAAAATCCTAAAAAAGAATATTCCTGCTCACATCTCCTATAATTAATAAAATTCACGTTGATTATCATTACTTGTCAAATATTTTCGTAATCTTTTTTCTGATATATTTCTTAAATTAAATGTGGAATTTATTACAAAAGAGGGTGTGGGTGTGGTTTTGAGTAAAGAGAAGACACCCACCCTCGCACTCAAGGTGTGCTGGAATGAAGAAGCGAAAAAAGGTGGAATTATTGTTGACAAAAATAGATACGGAACAGTACCAAATCTATTGTTTTTTTCCAAGGATTTGCCACTTGATCTGGAAGGAAATTTTTATGTTTGTGATACCTCGAGTAGAAGAATTCAAAAGTTTGATTTCATTTTTGCAATGTAAATTTATTCAAAGAAAAGAAAACTTTGACAAAAATTTCTTTTTTTAATATTTATTTCGATTAATAATGGAATTTAACATCAAAAATTAAATTTTATCATAATTAACAGATCCAGCAGAAATATATTATAAGAGAATTATATATATTTCTATTGATGAATTATTATTATTACACAATTTCGTACTATTTAATAAAAATAATCACTTTTTAATGTTTAGAAATATATAAATATTTATACTATTTATATTAATTGTATTACAAACAAATTTTATTGCTTTCGAATATCAATGAATTTATTTATCTGATGAATAAATCGAATGATATAAAATGAACAAGTTGATTATTATTGATCTTTTGTACAGAACAAAAACAAAGGAAATCATGTTGAAAGACTTACATAGCTCTCATGCATTGACTATACGACAGACTTTTTTATTTTTTAAACATATTCAATCAATTAACTAGAATTTGAATAAATTAGTCTCTAATAAATAATCATCGAGATTTCGTAATAACATATAACTAGAAATAAAGAATTAAGGATAAAGTCGTGTGAATAAATTGTTTTGAAGCGTTCAAATAGAAAAAAACAACAATTATTTGTTTAACATTGAAAATTATCTCTTCTGAATAAAATATTTTCAAATAGATTTAATAAAATTTAATTTTATTCTCACGCAAATAATTTTTATGAAGACAAGGATAAACAGATTTTCGTTTTACAACAAATATTTTCTTAGTTGTTCTTTGTTTTCATAGTTTTTAGTCTAATTATTGATATAAATTATATGATAAGTCACGAAATAGACAATTGTTTAACTGTACAAAACATTCTATTTGTAATTGATTTTACTAAAAAAAAATTTTTTTTATGTAAAAATAAAATGAATGTATTGGATCTTCTAAAATATCTATTTAATTAGAAAAATAATAATACTGTTCAATATTATCAATCTCTATATCGTTTCACTAACACATTCTCATGTTCATAGTAATGTAATTCTTATCTATTTAAGTTTCAATGACAATACAAGACCTTTTTTTAATATTGATATACTCTGATATTCAATAATAATTAAATGATTGGATGAACAATTAAAACAGTTTCTTATTTTTTTTCCTCTTTTGATTTTGATACTGTTGTTGTAACAAATATGTAACTATCTATTACATATTCTCGTTTTTCTCCTCTTTGTCTTGATCTGTTTTGTTTTCTTACCTCTTTTATGCTGTCTAATGCTACTCTTCTCATATTTATATATACTATACTATACTATTTTTTTTCTCTCTTTTCTTTCTTTCTCTCTCTTCTAACTCAATCATGTACTGTAAGGACCTTTAAGGTCGTCAGTCTCATTCTGCCTAAATAAATAAAAAAAAAACAGTTTCTTATTTTTAACTATTGTTTATGTTTAAATGATAAAAATCATTTGATTTTATACAAAAATAGAAATATTCATATATGAATTCTATTGGAAATGAATTTCATTGGATAAATTTCAGTTTTTTTTCCTCTTATAAAATTACTCACTGTCTCTTCGTCACCTTAAATTGTTTTGCTTTACTTTCACTATATATAACCATTTTCAATCAAGTGCGAGGCTGAGATATATTCGAAAAAAAGGAATAAAAAAAAGAAAAAAAGGAGTAAAACAGAAAGAAGAAGTAAAAAAAGGAAAAAACAAGTAAAAAAAGAAAAAATGAGTAAACAGAAAAAAGGAAACATAAAATTTTGATATCTTGCAAAAGTAAGAAACTTATCACTTGTCGAAGTAAGTAAGTAGTGTTAAAAACACATTAATACGTAAAATCAATAAGTATATATTATTGAAGTTTGTTTCATTTCTTTGGTTTTGATTATTTAAGTATGGTAAGTAGTTTGTTAGAATTATTCGAAACGTAGAAGAAAGGATTTCAACTCCCGTATACATAATACAAACATGATCAGAATATTAGAATTTGTATATTATACAATGCTTTTTCATACTTAGCGATATTTTATATGTAATAGTGCTCTATTTTAATAATAATGTCGTGTGACATAGAAATAAAGAATTTTACGTACTTATTCTGATGTCAAATCTTTAAGAGACAAAGTATAAAGTTTCTCGTACCATCAGTTGTTAAAATATGACATAAATTTTAGTTCTCATAGTTCTTTTTATTAATTTTTTCTCTTCAATAATCTTTGCGTCAGTATGAAAAATACTGTTAGAAGAAAGAATGTTTCATGTTCATATCATTCTATAAAAAGAGAATATTCATAACATATTTTATTTTACAATTTTATATAGACGAACAAACCTGATATATTGTCAGTATAATTGCTTCAAATTCGTGACTAATATATTTTAGTGACCATTAAACAGAATAAAAGACACGTTCGATGATGCATCGTTTTGGTGATATTGATGTTTCATTCAAACGACTTCCACCTATTTATGGTTATCGAAGTGAAAAACTTGTTTCAGTTGAAAAAGCACTTGAACCCATCGAATCTCAAATCAATGAATTACAATATTATATAAAAATAGCTAAAAAACATTGTCATTTTCCATCAGAACGTGGACTCACAAGAGATCAATCAGCTGCTGTTTATATTTATACAATGGAATGGGGTGAAACCACTTTGTATCGTGTATTAAATATAGCATTACGATCAGAAAATCGACAAGCATTAAAAATATGGTTTGCATATTTAAAATTATTTGACAGTGCATTAGATAAATTACCCACTGTCAAGGAAATTTTATGGCGAGGTGTTCCTCTTGATATTGGCAAGAATTTTACCAAAAATGAACTTATGACATGGTGGAGTATTAATTCAAGTTCGTCATCAGTTGATGTTATCAAAGATTTCCTCGGTAATAACAAAAATTCAACTCTCTTTTTAATTGAAGGTATAAATGGAAAAAAAAGTTTCTGGTTATACAGAATATGAAAATGAAGATGAAATTATTTTACGAATGGGTACACAATTTCGTGTTAAAAGCAACGCTTTAGAACAATCAAATGGTTCACATATTGTACATTTAGTTGAAATCGATGATGATAATGATGAACTATTAGCATCAACTATGAATGAAATGCATGTCACTACAAAACCATCAAATGAAGGTGCTTCTGGTAAGTCATCTTACTTTTCTTTGAAAAAACTAAAACCTTAAAATAATTTCAAGAAACAATAGCTATGAAATACTTTTGATACTATCGTTTTGTATTTTATTATTAACAGTTTTTCAACGCTATTAAATTATTCTTACCTATTTTAAATATAAATAATATTTCAATTAAAATTACTTGGTTTTCTGAGATAATTATGTTAGCATTTCAAATGAATAGAACATTATATATATAATCATTAAGAGCTTTAATCCGACTGATCTCTGTGAAACGAAGAGATTACATAGAAATTAGTTTTGTCAATAATTAACATGTTTTTCTTAGTTAGATGAGATATTTTAAAGACTTTTATTAAATCTTTTATGTTTTTCATACATTTCTTTTTATTTATAACTGTGAAATTGAGCATATTCTCATTTTGTGTGCTTTTCTTGTTGGATATAAACTAAATTTTCCTTGAATAGCAAATAATTTGGTGAGAGAAGATATTATTAAAGTATAATATAATGAATATAGTTTGGTGAAGTTATTGATGACGAAGATATTCGAATCTATTGATGCTTTATTTTGACCATAAATAGGTTTTACTAGAACTAAGCAAATCATGAAAAGCATTTGTAGTCATAACTATTTTCTTCCAACATATAATCAAGTTTATCTCATAAAAATAAGCTTTACTATCGATCTTAGTTTGTGATACGTAAAACAAAGTGTTCGAGATAAAATATTTCACTCTAAAAGTTTTGCTGCTTTGTAACTTAGACTAAATGAAATTTGAAATGTGGATATATTTAACATAGACCGTAGTTCGAACTATCGAGAAGAGATCTGTGACAGATTATAGTTCAATAATTCATAGGAACCAAACTAAACAATCGTTCATCGGTTGTTTGTGAGAGTCAATTTCCTAACCATATTATTTTATACTATTGATAGACTTACCCAGATCCAATAATCAGATAGAAAGATCTTGTAGGAATCGTATGTCCAATCATATCTGATCTGATGGAATCAGACAAGGATCGGGCAAAAAATCGTAGTCTCTGATTTCTTGCACTAAATCGTACTTAAAAAAATCTTTGTAACATTCTGTTATGCGGTAGAATATCACCAAAATATTCTATTAAAACTAAAATATTCGTAAAATCTAACTTAAAAATTGTAATGAAAAATACAGGCGCGTTAGATTTTCCAAAAAAATATCGTATGAATTGATACAAGATTTCAGAGACTACGATTTTTTGTCAGATTCTCGAAATATTTCGTTCATATTACAAGATCTTATAAGACTTTGCAACATCTGATGTCAGATTTTTTGACCTGGGTAGAACAGTTCTGTTCCACGTTAAGTATGTGTAATTTTAGTTACTAAGTCCAATGAAACTATTGTACGCTTCAATCGGCTGAATAAAATAGGCTTTTTAGGATATCCAGCTTATATAAAGACAATTGATAATTGTATCCCATTTTTATGAAAGAAACTGAACGTTCATATGTATCTAATATGAAATCGTCTCATACTTATAGTAGGGAAACACTGTTATCAGAAATTAAAAGCCTTTTTTTCACATAAGTTTTGGTCATATCTTAGGAGAAAAGAATCGTGGAGATGAATGTTTTTATATTCTTCTCATTCTCACTGAAACTTCTTTTATGATGAAAAGATGAAATTAAAACTTCATCGACCCAGTTGGAGTATTTTCCTTGTGAATATTGAGCACCTTTACACAGAGATGATTATCAACAGAATATTTTTAGAAGTACTTTAATGTTAATATGTCACACAATCTTAGTCAGACACTCTGCTAATGATGATTGTTGTCCATAGTTACATTGGCATGTACTTCTATAATTTCAAAAATTCTCTCAACACTAATGAATTAAACATCCAGAAATATTTGTAACACAATGATGACAGAATACCTTTGTTAAATAATAATATACTTTGAACTCAGTATGTGGAGTAAGATTTTTATTAAAGTGTTAAAAATGCAATCTGCTTATCTGTATGAAATCGAGAGCTTATTTTCAGAAAATAGAAAATATTTTTTAGAATTAAAAATGAATTATAAATTGAAAATATTTTATGAATTTATGTTTTGATTTATTTATTAATTTTAAAAGAGATTTTGTTTTTATTCATTCCAATAATATTAGATTTCTTTCATTTACATTAAATATTTATTTATGTCTTTTCAATATCAATATTCAATAAATTAATCGTAAGTTTTTCAGATGAAATTAGACAAGTGTTAAAATAATTTTATATCATTATGAATAATGTTTACAATTCTTCTCTTATCCATTTTATTCTTTTTCATTGACATTGATTTTGATATGAATGAACTTAATTCTTTATACTTTAAGATCTATTAAAAAATCATCAGAACTTTATGTTTTGGTTTTATTCTGACAAAAAAAGATCTTCAGCTTCGTTCTCGTTTATCTATAGAATTCATCAATCTTCTTTATTTATAAATCAAAGTTATTTCGTTTTTGTTAAAATAAGAAAAAATCTATTCAATTCAAAAATTTATGTTTCTTTCATTTTTCATTCTTAACAATCTTTGTTAAACAAAAAACCAAAATTGTTACAATGTTCTTATACAGTTTTTACTAAAATGTTTATAGAATTTAGTTTTGTTGATCAGGATTTTATAGAAGAAAATATTTCTTTGTCAAATAAATATTTAAATTAGAAAATGTAAAAGAACAAAATATTCTCTTTCCAATATCTTCATTATGTTTATCTCATTATAATCAGATTTACAATAAAGAATATCATTCATACTAAATTGTTATATTAACATAGATTTATATCATTAAACAGTTTAATATTTCATTTCATTTTCACTTTTGATGGTTTTAAATAAAAATATTCTGATTTTCACAAAAAACAATTAATTGTCATTTTTTATTTTTCAAATCTTTTTCAAAGATAAGCAAAGCCATTTAGATCAAATTAATTAAATTTTATTTTACAAATATAAAAATAATTTTATCAAATAAATTTTAAAATGAATTCAAATTACAATTACAATTAAACTAATTTAAATAATTTTTAGTTTATTACATTTTAAATTAACACTTTTTATTCACATTTATTCAACAATTTCATTCATATATAAATAAAATCTTTTTTCTTTTAGAACAACCAATTCTTTTCAATCATATTAATATCAAAACCAAATGGAAACGACATGGAATTACTATTGCTGGAGGTAATGGATGGAGCAATCAATTGAATCAAGTCTTTTGTCCTCAAAGTATCTATGTTGATCATGATCATCAAACTAATTATATTGCTGATTATCGTAATCACCGTATTGTTGAATGGAAATATGGAGCAAAAAATGCTCAAGTTGTTGCAGGTGGACGTAAATGTGGAGATCGAAGTGATCAGTTGCTTTATCCAATAGACGTGATTGTTGATAAAAAGAATGATTCTCTCGTCATTTGTGATGGTGGAAACAGAAGAGTGGTACGATGGTCTCGTCAAAATGGTAAAAATGGAGAAACAATCATTCCTGACATTAACTGCCGAAGTTTAAGAATGGATAAGAATGAAAATCTTTATGTCTCTGATTGCAAGAAGAATGAAGTGAAACGATGGAAACAAGGAGAGACAGAAGGAACAATAGTAGCTGGTGGAAATGGACAAGGAAATCGCCTTAATCAACTCGATTATCCTACTTATATCTTCATTGATGAAGATCATTCAATTTATGTATCGGATCATGGGAATCATCGTGTGATGAAATGGGCGAAAGGTGCAAAAGAAGGTATTGTTGTTGCTGGTGGAAAAGGTCACGGAAATAGTTTGACACAATTGTCTAATCCTGAAGGAGTGATTGTCGATCATTTGGGTAATGTTTATGTGGCTGATACTTTCAATCATCGAATAATGCGTTGGTGTGGAGGATCGAAGGAAGGTAGTATTGTTGTTGGTGGAAATGGATGTGGAGATGAACTAAATCAGTTCAATCGTCCCACAGGTTTATCATTTGATGTTCAAGGTAATCTTTATGTAGTTGATTGTTTCAATAATCGAATACAAAAATTTGATATTGATTTGAATTGAATCTATTGAGGTTGATGATGAAATGAATAATTAATTTTTTTGTGAAGATATTTTTGTTTATTTTGATTGAAAAATTAAATAAAGATAAAAATTCAAAATGAATTTTTGTTAAAAATTAAATTAAGTTTGATTTATTGATAAATATTTGTTTCGATGTAATTTGTTAAAATAAATAAAATAAAAGTTTGATTTATCTGTTAATTTTATTGTGATTGAGTTGATATTGTATTTTAATAATTAAAATAAAATTTTCTGATTCTATTGGAGATGAAATAATCTAAGAGCATAGGAAAGTAAGATATAAGATTATCGTAGTATTTTAAAGTTGTGTGTGTATGAATAAATAAAATGAATGATAAGACGAAATGAAATAGATCGAATTAATATTTTGTGTACATAGAATTGTTTTTCAAATAAATGAATTTCTTGAATCTGATGAGATGATATGATGAATTTATAATTTATAATTAAATAAAAAGATTGAAAATATTTGACTGATGAACTGATCGATTTTATGATATTATTGCTTGTATCATTGAAATAATAATGAAAGAGGAAGAGACAATAGTGACGATGTTTTATAAATAAAATATAAATGATGATTAGATGATTTGTTCATAGAATTGGTTTTGATAAATTCTGAATAAATAAATGAGACAATTTATTTTTCTCAATCGATTCCAAAGAAAGGAGAATTGTAAAATATGTGAATAATTATTATATTATTCTAGAGATTTGTATGGAAAAAGTTGAGGTTAAAATGATTAAAAGTAGAATGATGTACAATAAGATTATTTTCATCACAGCAAAATGGCAAACAGGTTTGATTTCATGATAAATTGAGGATGTGAATGTAGGTGTGCGTGTCATTATACCACAATGCTTCACCCACACCCACTAGAGCCCTGCGGTTCCTAAAATCTGTTTTGGGAACCGGGGATTTTATAATAATATATAAAATATTGAAACATAGATTTTTTTCAGAAATTTCTCCATTTCATTCTTAAGATCGTTGACGTTTATTATTTCATTAAAAGAGCAATATGTTCCAAAAGAAAAAAAAATTATGTTGCATCTGAATAGTATATTAGCTACCATTAAAAATCTTTTTTCGGTTCCACCGGTTCCGGTTCTATCATGTTTTACTTCACGGTTCCGGTTCCGGTTCCGGTTTCGGATAGCAGAAACTGAAAAACTCCGGTTCCCCTTCAGTTTTCGGTTCTATTCTTTTCGGAACCGCAGGGCTCTAACACCTTCACCCCACAGCCACACCCACACCCTCAATACATTTTCTTCGCACTTACCGGAAAAACAACTGAAAACCTTGCCTTTCTTTGTGGCTCCCGACTCTTAGCACATTCTCGCATCCTACTCAATGATAAACGCAGGTCAAAACATATTTGATTCGTCGGCAACAGTGGCTTGTCGAACTACCCTTTACAGAATAAGTGAAGTATTAGTAACCTTATACGCAAGAAAGCCAACAGTTTATAACCGCCAGACTATGTACTACAAGCACGGGAACATTTGAATACCCATACAGACGCATTATCCAAAAACTCGGTTTCTGACAGTCCACGTCACTTTTCTCAATTCATACTCCACCCTCCTTCAGTAGTCTGAGTGTATGAGGGGCATATTTGACTTTCCCGTATCGAAATATCACGAGAAATGTCTTTTCTAGAAAATTAATTTCGATGTTTTTTTTACCTTTGACCCCTCTTCACTACCCCCCCTCCACTTTGGTCACCCAAAAGACCTGAGATTCGAAGTTCCAGCATCGAATTACCTCTAGAAATGTCTTTCCCGAAAAATCAGTTTTCGATGTTTTTTTGACCCTGCGGACACACAAGCAATCAAAGAGACAATTTATGTTTGCAAGACTCTTCTCTACGAGAAAGAAAATAATAAAATCCGTCAATTAATCTACTGATTTTATATTCAATAAATATACAACTCAAACACATCTCATATCATTGCGTAGTGATATCTCAAAACGAAAGGGTGTGGGTGTGGATTAAGAGAACATAGATATCCACACCCACCCCACACCCTTAAGTTAAGTTTTCTTCTTTTTTGTTAAAGATAATACAATAAAATGTCTTCACCTATACGAAATATTGCCGTTGGAGAAGCATCAATCAATAGTAGATTATTTACTACAGGGATTTATACATGTGTTTCAATTATCATTTTGTTAAGTGCCACTAAAGTCTTTCTTTATCACATGGACTCATCAAATTTCGATCTTGAAAAAAGTAATCTTGCAAAAGAAGTCCACCCTGAACAAAAACAACGACACCGTAAATGGTCTTAAACGGTAGAAAATCGGTAAAATACGGTTTCAAAACGTCGCCATAATCCGTCGATTCAGAAATGTATAGAAATACGACTAAAAATAAGGCAGTAAAACGCCGTTTTATAGTCGTTTCAGGCCTTCTAAGACGCCGTTCCTGACAGCCGGAATGATTAACATAGGCAAAAGTTTATTCGAAAAATAATTAATAAATTAAACAAATATAATAAAAATCATCTATCAAATAAAAAATATTTGTAATCGGTGGATCTGATAATGAACTTTATATTGGATTTAATAATGTATTAAATAATATGAAAGATAATCATTCCGTAATCACACCAATGATTGATTGATTAAATGTTGATGATTTAAAGAATTTTCTTAAAGTTATCGAATATTCAAATCTTTCAATGAATTTTTGTGAAGATGATGAGTTAGATGAAGGGTGTGGGTGTGGATGGGTGTGTGCGTAGGTGTGAGTGTGGGTATCTCTAATAAAACAGAACAATACCCACACCCACACCCTCAATTATAATGTATACTTTGTTGATTATAAACTGATTGTATTTAATATCAAAAATTTTAAAATATCTTTTATGAATAATAAAAAAAAATTCAATATAATATATAAAATATCGAAAAATACAATTCTATATAATTATAAATAAACTTCACTAGAGAAAGTTTTAAATAAGACATAAGTAATTATACAGTGTCTGCTATTTCCTTTGTATTATTTTTTTGTATAACTTTGTTTGTTTTTATAAATTTACTGTATTAATTCAAAACTTTAATAGTTTTCAATACTCACGTTCAACGTTTGAAAAATAAATGTTTGAATTATTTTTAAATAAAATACTAATACCATTTCGTTGAATACAATATATTTGTCTAGCAAGATATTCTTCGTAAACATATTCTTTGATTTGATCAAATTGATATTTTGTTGATAAAGCAATGTAAATTAAAAATTTACACACGTCGGGTACAACTTTTTTATTTCGATTAAATAAATCTGTGATAGAATTTTCAATCGTATTATTTATTTTAAAACCTAATTGAAGATAAAATTGGCTAAATAATCAAAAGGGAGATTGTACGGCTATGCTTTGCATTTCAATTCTGAATCAAAAATTAAAATATACAACAAAATGTAGTATGAAAACCTTTACAATCAAAAAAATAACGTGCATTTTAATTGAATACTTCTTGTTTTGAAAAAAAAGGCAATACTCTGTGCGATTAGTTTTCGTTGCACGCTGCATCTTGTAGTATATTCTATTGTTTTAATACAACGCTATTATATCATAAAAAAAAGAAAACTTTCTTGAATGTTTGTAGTTATGTGAGATGAGTTTTTATTCATATTGTTTTTGATAATGAGCCATTTGACGTCGTTGATATACACTTCCATAAATTTGTGCACTGGTACTTGTTGAACTTGAATACGTACCACGTTCAGTTGCATGTTGTCTGTAGATATTGTGATATGTTGAACGATAACCATGTTCAGTTGGATATCGATATTCAAGATCTCTGATTAATTGTTGACAAAATAGATCTTGAGCCGATACACTAGCCTTTATTTTTTCAACTTGAGCTCTAAGTATAGCCATTGATCGACTATAATTTTGTTCATCCATAGCTTGTTTTAATATAAGAGCTGTTTCTATTCGATTTCGTTGAAGATCAATTGTATAACTAACTTGAAGATGATCGGAAGGCAGAGTTGAATTTCGAATAAGATGGAAAGGAACAGATGTTGTAGTAAATCTTTGACGACTATTTGGATCAGTATATACGACTGAGACATGTCCTATAATCAGATATCAACGAATGATTTTTTTCTCCTAGATTGGCATAATCAACTTACCGATGGTATGATTTTGAGCATAGTGCTGCTGTTCTCGATATTGATTGTGTGACGAAGATCTATCTTTCATTTTAGGTACATATAACTGAAAAATAAGATTTCGTTTTTCGTCAGCATTGAGATCGTTTAACTTGAAGATGATCTTTGAGGAGGGCAGTCGTTCAGGTTCATATGCATATATAGAATGAGCATGTGTTACTTGATAATCGCCATAGAATTCAATATGAACACGTATATGTTGTGCTATACATGTTAATAAACCAGCCAATGCCATAGCAAATGCTGGACCTACAGCTTCATGTTTATCCTATTCAAAAGATTTAAATGAGTTGGCGATACATCTATAGTCCAACATTTTTATATTCTCCGATAAAAGCTAGAAATGATGAAAAAATGTAATGAACTACTACTCATTTGGTAGACGTCTCTAATCAAGTATTCTGGTTAAAATAAATTTTATGATTAATTTAAGGCTACAATAACTACTTGTCCTTCTTTAAGCATATGTCCTGCATAATCATTCTCTTAACTTACAATGTGAGTGAAAGTACCGCCATTGCCTTGTTCAGCTAGTTGTACTAATAAAGATGTTGCATGATCTGATCCATAGCCGAAGGTATGACAAACTACATTTGTAGGTAATCGTCTCATAATATGAGAATAATCATGTATTTCATCATCTTGTCCATCGGTAAGTAAAAATAAAGCACTCACTGGATTTCGTGTTTGACGTTGTCTAAACAGTTCAATACCCATTTCTAAACCACACCCGATATTCGTACTAAATCCATCTTGGATACCATCATTAATTGCTACATTTAATTTGTGTTTACTAAATATTGAGAAAATAATATGAATCTATGGGATATATATTACATAGAGATATACTTACTTTTCTTGAGTCATTGGTTTCAGTCCATGAGATCGATCATAAGCATGATTATCAAATGAGATAATAGCCAATCGATCAAAATCAGTCAATTGTTCAGTAATATATATTAATGTTTCTTTTAATAAAATCATTTTAGCACCCGACATTGATGCGCTTTGATCAACAACACAAATAAGGTCAATTGGAACACGAGACAATGATGATGATGATTGACGAGTAAAAGGTGCTTGAAGAGTCACGAGTCCATAAATATTCGATTCTCTTTGAGATAGTTGTCCTTTGAATTCTAGTTTTGTAGAAACATTTATTGTAGAAGAATGAGACGAGTTTGACAATGCAGTAGTCTGTCGAGGAGTAGCCACAGACGTAGAAAGTGTAGAAACAGCTCTCCCATTATCTGCATTTTCTGTCGCATGAGGAATCTAAATATATTAAAAATTATACCTTGTATGTATTCATTCGTAAAAGCAGTTAAAGAACTAGATAATAATGTGTGAACAAGCATTAATTCCTTCTTTAAAACACATAATTTTTACTATAGTAAATTAGTTCTAAAAAGACGAAAAAAAACATTATTCTTATTTTGGTACATGTGGTTTTTTTCTTCATTTCTCTCTCTTTTTTCACTTATTAGTCATCATTGTAAACTTGCACAATTCATGACGATATGATTATTGATGCATGCAATTTGCTGTATTCCGATTACTAGGTACTAAAAATTTCACTTACATGTCGAGATCGAGTGTGATATTGGTAATTATTGTGTAATCTTATGCGACTTGGATTCATATATATTTGCCTTTGTTGTTGTTGATCACTGCGATTTGCTGATAATAATTGAGTAATCGATGCATCGATTGCTGCTCGACATAGAGGACATTGATTATTTTGTGCACGTATGCTGGATGCTAAGCATTGAAAATGAAACTTATGATTACATGATAGAATGAGACGAGGTGTGCCTCCTATTAAAGCACTCAAACAAATTGAACAATTATCAATTGTTGCATTTATTGATTTCGAAGAATATGCATAAAGCATTGCTTAGATCTGCTTGTGTTATGTAAATGATTACAAAAAAGAAATAAAAATGAATTAGTCAACTATTTTTTTTTGTCATTTGGTATCCTTTCAACCAGTTATTACACAATGATATGTATGACTCATCAAAAGGAAGTGAATAATTTTTCGCCCTAGTATTTTTGTTTTCATTTACTTAATCATTTCACCCAAAAGGGTCATTTTAATATGAAAATTAGTGCATTTTTGACTCTCGTATATCTATCACACATGTTTTATTTTAAACTGAAGCATAATTTGAATCAATAATTTAATTAATGGAAAATTACATACGAACTGATTCTAATGTTATTCTTTGAGTTTGATCGTTTCTCCATCTAACAATGATATTCTAGTTAATTTTCGTTTTATTCAAGTTGATTCATATAAACAAAGGTTGTTCTTTCAAAATACATTCATTTGAATTCATTTTTAAGAATACGAAACGAGAGTATCGTAACAATACAAAGAAATAGAATTAAATGGCAAGTAATTGTTAATAATGTGTTAAGATATGTACATTGTATCTCTACAGTACTAAATCTTTATAAATATTCATCTCACATTTTCGGAAGATATATAGGACAAATCTTTCTACCCTAACATTAAACAGACTGGTTCTTTTAAGAAGATGCAAAATACTGATGTGTTTTTGCTTCGATTCATCATCAGTAAATAAACCAATTTATCACTAAAATCATGTAGATATGAATAGTCAAATCTTATTGAAATTTTTGTAGTGCTTTGTTCATATTGAGAGACTCACATAGCTATTAAAAAAATTGATAACGATGAAATTTCATTCCTGTATGAATCTACAGTGTCGAATAGGGTCCCGTTGGTGTTCATCTTAGGGAGGTTTTACCGTATGCATTTTCTTTAATTATATTTTCTCATTCTCCCAATCAATATGTCATCGATTCATTTTTTTTTTAATGGAAAACCTGTCATAAACATTATTGTTCTGATTCGGTTTCGATCTTGTCTGAAATTTTTTTATATAGGGTTGATAGGTAACTATATTCTGATTTGAAAGAAAAATATTTCTTTTTTAAGTTTTAAAAGTGCCAATAAACAAATAATCTAATAATTATTTTTTTTTATTAGTAACAAAGATTATGAACAAATGGTAGAATATTCTTTCAAATTTTAATAACTTTTCTGATTCTCATAAACTATCAAATATTTATTCATGTTTTTTTTATATATGAATAAAAACTACTGAATATGATAGTGACATTAATTTTCAATACCCGTTGGCTACTTTTTATTGCTTCTTCCATAATTAAAGAATGTTTTGAGGGTGAAGCGAGTCGTATCGACCGATGTTAATTGTATTTTAAACAGAATAAAATTAACTAGAAAATATGTTTTGCAAAGTTTAAAATCAAGCTTTAGACCTTAGAAATTAAGAATTGAATCATTCTGCATGTAATAGAAATTATTTTTGTTCAAAACGTTAAGTCGTTTCTAAAACTTGTCGATAATAGAAAATGATGTACGTGGAAGAACAATGAATTCTTCTTATTATGTAAGAGTTTTTATCGAGTGACACATTTGTTTGTAAACTGGAATAACTTCAATATTAACGCGTTTCATCGCCCACTAGTGTGTTAATATTGTTCTGCCATTTTTCTTCAGTTTCATTAAAAATACGACGTATTTAGATTTCCGCTCTTATGGCAGATTATAGATTATTTTCTTAAGGATATTTTGATTATCTATAAGTTTACTGTCGTAATTCATTTTTTTTATCTATAAAAGTGTATAACATTTGTGTAGTTTTCTTTTTCAGAGTTAACTAGATTTCTACGCTTTAACTATCGATCAATCTTTTTTGAAAGACAATTTTTAAATAATGGCAGTAACAAATTTACCTTTCGTACAACAAAATATGATTCGTTATGGTATGAGCATCTATTTTGCATTAGGTCTCGCAGGTAATATTTGCAATTGCATCATGTTTACGAGACCATTATATCGGCGCGCACCTAGTACCGTCTATCATCTTTCTTTTTCAATTTTTGCTATTCTCCATTTAATTTGGTCTGTTACTCCACAACTTATTACACTCAATTATCCTGATCCTCAAAAACAATTGATACTCTACTGTAAAATAAGACTTTATGGGAGTCATGTTCTTGCATTATACCTTCGTTATACCATTGCGTGGGCTTGTATGGATCGATTCTTCGCAACACGAGTGGATATTCGTCTTCGATCATTAAGTTCAGTTAAAGTAGCAGTAATGCTTATTTTCATTACATCTATAGTATGTCCACTGATCGCCATTCATATACCTATTTTAATGAATATAATAAATAATATTTGTGCAATGCCTGGTTTGTATAAATTAATTTATCCATTTTATCAAATTCCTGCAATTTCTATTCTACCAGCAGTATTAATGATTACCTTTAGTAGCTTGACTATTCGTAGTCTGCATCAACGGCATACTTCTCTAGTACATGCTAAAAAAAGAGATCGTCATTTTTTGCGTATGGTCACTGCTGAGGTCGTAGTGGTTGTAATCACATCAATTCCTGATTCAGCTAATCTCATATATGGGGTAGCAACACATGATGTTGTTAATAAAAGTGCTCAACGACTTGAGATTGAATCATTTATTAGTTTTTTCACTCAATTCACGATCTACATGATTAGTGCCTCTCCATTTTATTTGTTTATGTTCGTATCAAAACCTTATCGAAAAGAATTCATCAATACAATGATCAAATGTCAAACCAAGTATATGAAACGACCAAATCGAATCATGCATTCAACTACATAATAATCTATAACAAACAATATCTTGAGGATGTGGATAGGTGCATAAGAATCAAACATAAAGACAAAATTTTTTTATGTTATTTTAAATAAAAAAAAGCTTGGTTTATTTTTGATATTCTAAAAAACTATTTTTATTGATTGACTTCAGTCGAAAAGAATTCATTTTTATGATTTTTATATTGTTCTAGTCGACATTTTCCATATTTGATATAATCAAATTTTTCCAATGATGCTGGATTAAGTAATGCTTCGAGAAAAGCCCATAATGCCCAATAAAGATGAATAGGTGCACGAAGACAATCACCTAAATCACACAATTCATCTAGACTCATTTTTATTTTTTCATTATGTAAAAACGTAGCATGTGATAGATAAATTTGTAACCATTCTTGTTGTTTACTACGTGACAAATATTTTCCATCAAAATCAGGTTCTTCAGAATCTAAGCCGGCAAATTCAATAAAATAATTAAAAACATCAATTAACCACATATTTCGTGCACAATGTTCAAAGTCAATTAATGATATCGTATTATTATTTTCTTCATCATATAAAAAATTTAAACTTTGTGTATCATTATGACAAATAACAACAGGTATGTGAGACCATTTTGATTGTTTATTTTCAAATATATGTTCAATTTTATCAATATCTTTACTAATATCAGACCAGCAAATATTTTTGAGATTCGATAAGATAGATGAAGCATTTTTATCTAATCGTTTATGTAATTCATCATTTTTTCCACTTAATAAATTAACATAATGACGAAGTTTTTCTGATAATTGTGCTTTTCTTCGGTTATCATCACCTTTCATCAATGGTATTGAATGAAATTCAGCCATGCTCCGGGCAATGAGTAATCTAAAAATAAATATCAAACGATTTTATAATTGTAATGTATGTTCTACTGACGGTTTTTGTTCATCATGAATATCAACAGGAGTACCAGGCACATATTCATAAATAAAACCATCATTGAATGTAAGTAAAATTCGACTAGCCATTTGAAATTGAGCCAGATGAAGCATAAAACGAATTTCTTCTTTTCGATCGACAATTAAATCTGAATTATTACCATAAATTTTTACAATAACACCTCGGTCTTTTTCATTATCAGATTCTTTTGATGATGGAAGAATAGCAAAGAGATTATTCGAGAGACCATCAGTAAGTCTTTTAATTGATGGACTTGTCCAATTGGTTTTTAATGAGTTTAAAACGAGATGTAAAGCAGCTGATTCAACATCATCATTTTCATCAGAAGATAATTCAATATTTTCATGGGGAGGTGAAGAAAATGACATTTTATATTCGCTATTCACGTGTGTATAATGAAAGTGAACTGAGTATAAAATAACGATGTCTATATATTTTTTTTCTCTTATAAATTGTGTGTCTTTTACTCGATAGGGCAGCACAACGTGAAGCAAATAAAAATGAGCACGTTTATACTTGTTCTCTACTCTATCGATTACCTATTATACGATAAGAAAAGAGAAAAAAAAAAATTTGTATATGAAATCGTTATAACTGATCATGTAATACTCAAATCTATTCATTTACATCTTGAGGGTGTGGGTATGGGTAGTCAGAGTGAACAATCATATTCATACCTTCAGTCACCCTCACACGTTTGAATTGAATAAAAATATTATCAAATACTACAGATAATTTAAAAAGTGTAGTTTCAATCCTATAATATCAAATCAAATATTCTATTATGATTATATATTCGTATTTATTTCTATTATTGATTGTTTGATGGAATATAAAGCTATTCTCTGTGAATACTATCGATTATTGAGTATTGGTAAGTTTTTGTCAAATTCCGTTTTATTAACAAGATCTTCTCAGTCTTATTCTTTTGTTTCTAGAGTGAACACAGATTGCTTCATAGATTTAATAATATCGAAAGATAGACTATAAGTTATTGACACGTTTTATCGAATTAAAAAAAATCAAAAATTAAAAAACTAATACACAACTAAGGAAAGAAGAAACATGCAAAACTTTATTAAACAGTTTTTTAAGTTATTCCACTTTATGTTCTGCTGGAACTTGAAAAATAACTGCTAGTTGATTAATAATCATGCCCAGATAAGGATTGCCCTCTAGTTTATCTACAAGTTCATTGCATTTGTTGACTAGCTTGAGACATGTATTTCGGGTATATTCAATTGAGCCAAATTCATATAGCAATTGAACGGCTTCTCGTTTGAGATCGATATTGTCTGTGTGCTGTTTGAGAATGTTATTGAGTCGATTATCATGTGGACGAGTATTAATAGCATGAATAATTGGAAATGAGAATTTGCCTTCAGTTATGTCCTCACAGTATGATTTGTTTTGTGCATATTCCTCCGAAATTAGGTTACAATAATCATCACGAATTTGAAAGAGAAATGTGAGAGCTTGGCATAAATCATCAATTAATTCATTTTTCCTCATATCAGATTGCATAGGTGAAAAGAGTCGTAAAAGTTCTATAGCCAAATGAAAGAGTCCACCAGATTTACCAGCAATCATTTGGCAATAATCGTCTTCTGATGGACACACATGGTTGTCTCGCCACCAAATATCAAGGCCTTGGCCTTTGTGCAATTCAATCATATGATCTATAAAAACAATTTATAGTATCATTTAGAATGAAAAGTAAACGACTTACCAACTAGAATAGATCCTACACGTGAATGATCAAGTTTAAATGCTGTTTGCATAGCAAGAAAACAAACAAGTTCCGCTGTATTGATTGTTAAAGGGATTCCATAAATCGTATGAGCAGCTGTTGCACCTCGTCTAATTAACGATCCATCTTCAATATCATCAAGTAGTAAACTTGCATTGTGAAGTTTATCGATAATATCATCGATTATAACCAATTTTTCTTCAGGTGCATTGAGCCAGTGATTGAACGCATGAATTAGTTTTGTTCGAATACTTTTGCCGGGTAGAGTTTTCAAGTAATCATATGGTTGCAAAATTTTATCCTAAATAAAAAAAATAATCTTTCAGATATTTTGAGCAAAAATTAATAAAACCATGTATTTAGCATTTAATATATTGTTCGAAGTTGGTTCATCTAGAATTAACAGATAATATAAAGTGATGAATATATATTTTTCTACTTCAAAATATTTATACGAGATAGTAAATTACATAGCATCTTTCATTGACAAGAAGCTAATGGTTTAGTAGATTTCTATGTTCTTTATAAATTACCTTGATGAAGAGTCTGTTGAGAAGAAACATCTTCAATTGTGTTGCCATTTGAATTTTTCTATAAAATTAGATACATTTATATTTCCATTTAAAACTGGTTTCTTTCTACCTCTTGTTTACTTATCGCTTCAGTGAGATTTTCTTGCATAGATGCTTCAGGTGGTAGCAATGTGACACGTCTCGTTCTTTTCACTTCTGCTCTCTCTGTTCCAAAATATCTGGGTGTTTCAAAACTCCACACGTCATATCCAATAATTACGGCACCCAAGCCATTGGCAAATTTTTCCACTTGAGTATCAATTTTAGTACCCCATGAGATTAATTCACTTCGAACACGTTCGAAATCAGCGTAACGATCGATAACCATCTGTCCAGCTCGGTCTATAGCTTGTTGAATATTTAGCGATGGATCAGCATGCATAAGTACTGAGATAAGATTGTAGTCACCTTCAGATTGTTCATTTTTAAATGAATAAATATCCTATTCGAAAAAAAAGAAGATAACAACTTAATAAAGAATTGAATTTAATATATCGTTTGAGAAGAGAGCGAGAGCAAAATTCTATCTCTAATATCAAGACTTTTTCGAATCTCAGCTTCCTGAATACGTAATAACTCGATACTATCGACTATGAAAATATCTTTTTGAATTATGCTTAATTATCTACACCCGAGAATAACTCATTTTGAGCAAAATAACGTACATTGGTCCAAGCAGGGATATCATTTGCATAATCGACAAGACATTTGAATGCATCGTTTTTCCAGCATTCGTCAAGTGAATCAAGTTCGAGACTGTACTCAACGGCGAGAAACACCACATATCCAAAGCTTGTATCTCGACGAAACTTAATGTATGTTTCTAAATCAGGAACTGTTCGACGATTCTTTTGATTACAAGCTTGAAGAAGTACAGCTTCACTAGCAGTTCGATAGGCAGTGAGGAAACGTTCTCGACAGCCAGGTGTGATACTGATGAGAATTCGCTGCCACCATTCATGAAGAGCGGTAGCGAATGGTGTTAATGGTTTGAATGAACCAGCCGGCTGCAAACATTCAATCATATTCTTATATAGTTCTTGTTTGGATCGATCGGCACCTTCTGAAATATGAGCACTGTCCATAATGTCATCAGCCAAGTAAAGTAATGTCCAAATATCACACATTTCACGTAATCTAACTTGACTACAACGCGGAAAAGACATTCCGGACCATAGAATGTATTTCTTTGCCGATTCTTGGTAGCGAATACCATATGAGTTAAGCCAAGCTTCAGTTGCATCTGATACTCTTTCATATGCTGGATTACATTCAGCTTTGAACGGACAAATACTGATTAAATCAGGTAAAAGAATACTGTTCGTATTCGTCATATCCACTGAAAAATAGAATCTTTACTTGTGATCTGAAAGTAGACTGATTGAAGTTGAATTATAAAAACAAAAATATCAAATGGAAAATGAGTTTTAGAAGGAAATTATCTTAGCTGTCATATAATAGTCTAAATTAAAATTCAAAATACTTATTAAGTACTACATCGGAATATATCTCATGAATAGTACAGCTGTAAAATAGACAAGAATGAATCAAAACAATTCGTAACCAAGCTCTTATAATAAAGTATCCTATCTGTTTTGTCTCTGATCTCACTTAATACGCAACAATAAATGATAAATCTCGATGTAATTTGTTTACTTCTTTAATATAGAAAATCTATCGATACATAACAATATCGTTTTCATTTCAAATACTTAAATTACAACAAGCTGGTAGTTACTATAATTATTGTTATATATTTTGAATTCTCATTTGAAATGAATTCAAATTAATAAAGTTAAATAACAAAATATTTATTTGCGCTTAAATACACTATCTATACTGAAATATACTGCTTTCTCCTGGGAAAAAAAGATTTACGTACGTATTAATTATGTAATATAATATTCAAGAGTGAGAAATTTGAATCAATTTATGAAGCATCACAGATTAAGGTATAAAATAAGTAGTAATAAAAAATATTACCTACAGGTTTTCTTGGCATGAAATCGATTATAAAAATATCCGATGTCTCACGTAGAATTTCTTATCGTACTTACTTGTTGATATTCGTTTTATATACTGAATATGTTGGAATATTTTTTGTGTATTTATATGTAATATTATCGATTATAAAAGAAAAAAAATCATGATAAAATAAAACTAATATCGAGTGCATTCTTTTCTTCTATACATATATTATTCGGATGTCCTTTTGGCCCGCTTTGATAGGGCGCACCTGTATCTGACGTCAAACATTCATTGTTAGAAAGAAGGTATTTTCAAGTGTATTCTCTTTCGACATAAGCAAAAAAAGAATAATACGATTTGCAATCATACTTTATATGTTAGTGTTTTTCATATGTGGCTCGTTATTCTCACGAGTATTTATTTATTCGTTATATTAATGCACTTGAATAACTTTTTCTATTGCTCATTTTGATTTACTCCATGGTTGCTAACTAACAGCACGTTTATATTTAGTAAATTTATTTTTTTTTAATAATCTTTCAAAACGTATTGTATTTTCTTTAAAATGCATAAAATATTGCATTTGATAGTTAATTGAAGATTTTAATATCATTTTTCGCTCGGTAAATATAATATTTTTTTTTATGTTACACGTTTTTTAACAAGATACTTATTAAAAAGAGTATGTATAGAACGAATATTAATGGATCAAAAATGCTTTGTTTTTAGAACAAAAGGGTGTGGGTGTGGGTGTGGGTGTGAGTGTGGGTGTGGATGGGTGAGAGTATGAGTGTAGGTGTGAATGGGTCAGTGTGGGTATGATTGTGGCAGTAGTTGTGGGCAGGACGAGAAGACACCTAGATCCTCAGTCACCTATACCCACACCCTCAAGATGGTCGTATATTGAGAAAAACAAGTCGATAGGATTTAATGACTTGTAATTATTATTGGAGAAAGTCAATAAAACGATATTTTTTGGTAAGACAAGATGAGAAATGAACTCCAAATCAGCTTTCGAGACTGAAGCAAGATAAAGTTTAAATCGATGGTAACTGCTAACAACTGCATAAAGTTGTGT